TGACTTTCATTTTGGGTTTTATTGTCTTATTTATTTTACTTGCAAGTTTATTTAAATCTGCTGCAAAACATATTATGTTCGCAACACTAATAACGTAACAGTAGCAGATACCCAGATATACTTTTACAGTTTGTCTACAGTATTATACTTTACTGCATTTTACAATTCAAGTACCTTTTATTTACCTGTAATTTGATTATTCTACATGCAAAACCAGCACTGAAACCAAAATCGAAACAAAACAAAGCCAAATTTTAACACCAAGACTGGGAAACACAAATCACCAATCTTAAACACTTAAACCCTGGAGTCGTCGCGACGACAGGAGCTTGGAGCCAACTTTGTGGGCAGCACGACGAGTAATTCAGACCGAGCAACAAGAGGATCTTCTTCAGCATTATCCCTTCCTAGCATAATAACAACCTATAGGACTTCGAGGTAGCTCGCCTAGCGCGACATAAATCCTCACTTTCTCCTTAGGCTTCTGTGCAACCATGTTGCGCGGCATGAGTCCTAACTCGACTTAGGTTCCGAGGTTGTCGTACGGTACGACGTAAACCCTCATATCTCTGCAGACTACATGCATAATCAAACATTATGCAAGTTTAAATCCCAAATAATAAAATTGGCAGAATCAAACACTTAATTAACATCGTCTCTAAAATGCAACGAAACAGTAGGATAGTTTGGGAGGTCACTGAGGATTCCCCTCAGAATCTGTGACATCCACTACCTTTTACTTCCTTTGGACTCCTGAAAGGATTGTTCTCACTTGAGTCACTCCCACTTGTTTCTTCCATGTCCTATCTTGAAAACCTGAACCTTAAATTCTTGAAGACTAGAATTACTGATCATTATCGAGAGTTTTCTCAAGTGACTCCCGTCACTTGGGATGTAATTAACTATAGGGGCTTGCCTCTATAGGGAACTTGGAACTCAGGTAAAATAAACTCTATTTAATCTTTGTATTAGATAGGAGAACTTGTCGATCATACATAAAAGATTCGCAGACCAAACGGATGTCACAAATCTCTTAATTTGCAGGATTGGGTCTATTGTCGAGATCTACACTTATCTATCGGGAGGGTGTAGTATTCACAGTATTGGACACAATTATGCAAATTTTTGGACTAATGGGATCCATTTGGTCTCATTTTTCAAAAATTAAAACATATTACTTTTAAAACCTAAACTATATACCTCTTCTACTTAAATTAAATTTCAAAAATTATTTTCATATACCATATTTTCAAATCATCAAAACGGAAAGTTGACCGACATGCATCCCTTGAGCTGACAGACGGTCTACAGATGTTTTGTTGATATATTTTGTCTCATTATCAAATCTCAGTGTCTTCACAACTGCTTCATATTGAGTTTGAATTGTTTTATGGAAATCTTTAAAGCAAGCAAGAACCTTACTGTTCTGTTTCATTAAGTATATCCAGATAACATGAGAAAAGTAATAAATAAATGTAACAAAATAATGATAATCATTCATAGAACTAGTAAGACAAGGTCCCCATACAACATAATGTATCAAATCAAACGCACAAGAGCTCCTATTCTCAAAACTGACATAAAAGCTTCCAGTAAACTTGTTAAACTCACAAGCATCACAAACAAGTTTCTCCTTATTTGTCTTTTTATACAAGAATGGATACAAATGACTTGAACGACGAGTGTTTCATGTGCCTGTGATGTAGCAACAATATATCATTCATACTCTTCTCAGATCCTCCTGCTCCATCATTCTCAACCATGAATGTCAAGACTGAGTCCATCCCCTTTCTATCCAAGTACAAGAGTCTATTATATCACGTGTCAACCGCAAGTTTCTGACCAGCTCCTTCTTTTGAAAGATCACCTTTGGAATATCAAATGAAAAAACACATTTTAGTTGAAGTATAATGACACTAATGGATAAAAGATTCACTAGAAATGAAGGAGCATGCAAAAATATTAGATAGAGTCATAGAATTTATACAACTCACTGTAGCCTTAACAATCAAAGGCTATGTTGTAATATCAATTGTCTGAATGCTCTCTATAATTGTTAGATGAGTATAGGAATAGAATTCACTAGCAGCACCTATCACATGTCGAGATGCACCAGAATATATTATCTATTCTGATGAACTTGTGGTGGATATAGAGGCAAAAGCATGTGTATCAGAATCTCCTTTGGCTGAGTGAGCATGACTAGCAGTGTTTCTCTTGAAAGACGATAAGGTGGATGCATCATACTTGCTTGATAGCCCCCATGATTAAAACCATGGCCTCTAGACTATTCACATCCACCTATCTCTCCCTCTTCTTAGATAGATTTGGACATGTCTTGCTCAGGTGCCTCACTTCTTCACAGTTGTAGCACCTGCAGGTCTCCCCCTGAGCACCAATCCTACCTGAGCTCGAGGCAATCAAAACTGATTGCATTCCTTGAAATCCACTCGGCTGTGCCGGAACACGTGTTGAGGTAGTGGCTCCCATCGAGACAGTAGATCTCTGTATGAGCCCAACCAATACTTTCAGAACTTCATGATCCATCTTCCTAGAAGTTTCAATCCTTTACCTCCGATAATATCTCTGTTACCTAACATCATCAATCACAATGATCCAAATTTAGATCACTCAAAGAAAACAAGGTAGCAAAATAAGTCCCACAACAGAAGCTCTCTTGCTCGGACAAGGCAAAAAAGATCTTGCTACAAGCTTTGAAACCTTCATTGCTTCTCTCCGACACCCTCTCGAAACAGAAGAATTCTAAAAGTCCTAATCCTCACTATTGCCTCTCCTGTTCACGTAAACCAAACACACGTCCCTGCCTTCCTTTCTTGTCACGCTCCGCTTCCTTTGTTCATGAAATCAATGCAAGAAACACCTTCCTTGCACAATGTCGCATCGCCACTCTTCTTCTGTGCCATCTGTCTCACACATGAAAGGACTTATGAAACTCTTAGCATGCACAGTTCCGTGATCTTTCTTCCTTCATGTACCACGATCTGTTCATCCCAAGTCCGCACGAAGTCGCCAAGCCTCTCTACCCCAGCCTCGCACAAAAACACCACGACCTTCTTGCCCGAGGCCTTCACTCTTTTTTTCTCACACATTGAGTGCTAGCGAGGGAAGCAATGTGGGAATCTCAGCATGCAAGGAATCACAACGCGCAAGGAATCAACGAAAAACAAGCCTAGCCGCTTCTTTCTTGTTCACGAGACCTAGCCGCCAAAGACTCAGCCCTAGCTAGTCAAAGCCTTGCACGATCCCAACAATGATACCATAAATAATTATTTGATGAAAAAACTTGATATTTCATTCAACATATTTTGTTAAATAGGTGTTACAATGTTTAACAAATAAACCCTTACACAACCCAATAAACCCCTCTAATTACACATAACTCATAATAGATTTTTTTTAAATTCAACTACAATTCACCATTTTTTATCAGTTTATAAAATAACATATTATTCTGTTCATTATAATCTTCCAAAAATATTTCCCTTAAACTCTATTAATAATTTCATAAAATAGCATTTTTTTTTTAATTTTATAACATCATATTTAACTAAGATCTTACCAACATTACTTTAATGTATTCTACTCGATAGAAGTACCAAGATTTCTTCCTTAAACAATTTCATATATCACTTTTCTCTATTGCCATATTACAAAGCCTATTATATAAACATCAAAGCTGCAGCTTCTATTTATCACTCTAACAGACTTCCATATTCCTTATGAGCATGCTGATTCCTAGTGGTATTTACTTTGGTAACTCCTTCAAAATATGTATCTATTCCCTTATGACATTTTAGACCTCCTCACTCAATTTAAACCTCTTCACTTCAACATCAAGTCTACTCATGTGCATATGATATATTTATAGACTCTTTAAATTCCGATAAAATGTTTAATTGTACTCGACATATCATACCACATCAAATTTGGCTCAATTGTACAATTATAATTTACCTCTCTTAACAATCTAACTTGAAGGGTAAACAATTTCACATCATTTAAACTCAACAATTTTATCATAGAATAATTAGAATTTTTTTCATTTTCTTTATAATTTTAAGATATACGTCCAAAGTTAATATAAAAATATTTGAGGCTGATAAATATATTTAAATACATTTTTTAATCTTTGCTCATCATGGATGCAATCAATACATGATTTATCTAGGTGTGATTGGGCTTTTAATATTGCTATTTATTCAGGTGTATTTAAAAGTAAAACAAGCTAGCATAATGTCGAACTTGAAGATTGTGTGAATCCCTACGACTGATATACCAACTACTTTTTTTTTGTATAGTTCTTACCAAGTTCGTACATTTATTTATTCGATCCAAATGCTCTCCTTAACATGGCCTCTCATTGGAAAATGCTGACGCATGGTGCATAACTCACATGTAACTTATATCACTATTGATGCCCTTTGCCATTGAGCCATCTTTACAGAGCTTCAAATGTTGCTTGATTCTAACTCTAATGAACTATGGCTTTTCTAAGAAATTTAAACACTTTCATACCGAACAATCCAGAAATTTAGCCTATAATAACTTGATAAAAATATCAGCTTTCCTGAGTCAATTTAGAGGTTTTATCAAATTAAAAGAAGAATCATAACTCAGAGAATATTAAACTTGTTAGTTAGTGAATCATTAGCAGCATATCTCAGAAGCAGATGATGTTTCTATCTGTTTTTAATTTCAGAAGAATTATAAAACTGATAGAATGCTTACAAAGAGAAAGAAAATCAATGTCAGGCGTGGAGGTCAGGTGCAATGCTTGACAATACACTTTAAAAAGGATATTTAATCATGATTACTACGGAAAACCTGATGTACACAGGCTACATTTGAGTACTTCAGCCAATGCAAAGGAATATTAAAATTTAGGCAACATATGGTATTTGCAGAACTAAGGCATAAATTAGAGATGAAAATCATAAAATTTTGAAAACTAAATGTGTACTATAAATAATGTAATGTACCAGAAAAAGAATTCCCCATTCGGACAAAACTTTAACATCTGTAAGGTTTCTGAATAGACCAAATTGATTGAGAACAACACCAGCAGAAAAGAAACCAAGTATCTGCATTTTTGTAAGTCCAAATAAATATAGTTACAATGTGAAAATAATTAGAAGGAATAAAAAACATATAAATAGCCATCAGACTTATAAGGTGAAGTTCATAAAAAGTTTAAATAGAAAGTTATCCTAGCCAAATGTAGCATAAATTTTCACAACCTTGATTAGAGGTATTACTGCCTAGGTCTAAAAACATCATGGAAAGTTCGAGAAAAAATATCTATATAACTTAAATCTCTATGTTATTAACTTCTACCATGTGATTCTTGTATTTCTAACAAAAAGTGGGGCTTCCTATTTTTATGTTTGAGAGATATGAGGCTTCTCACTGTGACAAGCTATGTGTAATTGGATTAGAAGAGTGCTTTTCTTCTTCCATACTTGTCTGTGTATCAAATGTTGCTTTTTGATAGCTAATCCGTTTCTCCTTCTCATCTCACATGGATGCAGTCTATTATTCTAATTATAATACATAATTTTTACTATCATCTTGTGTTTTGTGCTCTTTTTTATTACTTTGTCCACTTATAATATTCATTGCTATTAGACTCCTTCACATAAGAAAATAGGTTCCTCCTAAATATTGGAATTAAAGCTTAGTGAAAAATACAGAGGAGATGAAGCATAGGATTGAGAAGTTTAAGAGCTCGAATGGGCCTTGGGAGGGTCTTAGGCATTAGAGAACAAAGACGTAAGGCATAGAAATCAAACAAGGACTTGTGAAAGCACCTGTGGGGTGTGTAAAAACACCTAAGAAAATTAGAGAAAAAAAGGCATTATTGATGATGCAACCACATTTGGTGAATGAGATTTCATAAAACATTTGGATGAAAAAACTACAAAAGGGTTGTGGCTCAAGTTGAAATCATTGTAAAAGACAAAAAATCTTCACTTGTAAGAAGGTATACAAATTTAATAACATCTTATTGAGTTTAATTTTATTAGAGATTCAAGAAACATATAAGAGATAGTTGATGATGAAGGTTAAAATCTTGTATCTTTATGTTCTCTACTTCTTCTTATAAGTATTTTCATGATAATTTGTTACATGGTAGAAATATAAATAACTTAAATGATGTCAATAATCCACTTATTTTCAAAGTATTGACTCTTAGGCTTGACGGAGTAGAAGATAAAAAATATTTGTTAAAAAGAGATTTTAATAAGAGATCTACATATAGGTGTGGTTGAAGTAAATCTGGTGTCAGTTCAAAAACATGAATTGCCTCTATTATTTAAAAAATGACACATGAAAAAAGATTACAAAGTTTGGAATATAACAATGACAATCATAAGGATGACAAATCAACATATGTCATTATAGATGCAGAGTGCTCAAATAGATTTTTCATTGATGCTTTTTCAATGATAATGTAAGTCATTTGCAGCATTAGTGGATTCTAGATCAGCTTGTTCTTACCACATATGTCTATGTAAGGAATTATTTTACCCTTATGAGCCTTGTGCTTATATATGAAATAATATGGTATACAATATAATTGTTTTTAGCATGGCAAATTTGAAATGCATGATGGTATTATTGAGACGTTGATCGAAATCAAATATGTATCAAATCTCAAGAAGAATATTATATCTTTGAGTTTACTTAATTGAAAAAGATATAGTTCTTAGGGGATATTAAGGTCCATCAAAATTATAAGGGCGTGTTTTTTGGCATGAAAACAAATGACGGTGAACTCTATATGTTATAGAGTGCAACTTTAAGTGATTTTGCTTCAATTTCATCTTTTTTGGAGAAAAGTTTAATAAAAAAAGCTCAGAAGTCTTAAATTTAGGTGTCATATGTATTTCTTGTGGTGTGAAGTGCTAGACCCTTCAATATTTTTGAAACTTAAAAAGATTGAAGAAGAGGGGACTTGAAAAAGGTCCAAAAAGTATTGACATAAAATTAAGTCATAGGAGAGATTTTAGGATGGCAAAATTGTAGAGAAGGCATAAATAAATGCAAAATAAATAGTTTCGAGATGAATATAAATTTATTTGAATTTTCCTCCTATATAAGAAGATATTAATTTTTTTGTTATTTAAAATTAACATCAAGCAAAATTTAAACTTGAGTTGAATTTAAAATTTCAACAATGTTAACTAATATGAATAGAAGAAGAAAAAGGAGATCTAAAAATGTGTACTTGCTGTTGTTGAGAAAAATAAAAAGATGTATTCAAACAGCATCTAAGAAGAAATCTTATGGTGTGATTTAGATCCCTAAGTTTACTATCTCTTTCAATCGATTCTCATATCCTGAAAGATATTAAGAGATTTTTATATTTTTGGCTTAAGTGAGAGATACATGGCTTCTCTTTGTGATGAAATCGTTGAACTTGGATTTTGGTAATATTATTCTCTTTTGATTTTTTTTATATCTATATCAATATAATTTCTTGATGGTGAATCGATTCATTTCTCCTCCCTAAAGGATGTAGGTTATTGTTCTGGCGGAATGATATAAATTTTGTTAAATCTTATTGTTAGTGCGTTCGTTTTTATCATTCTTGGTAGAAAAATTGTCATTAAAAAAAAGGAAGAAAATAAAAATTAAAAGTTTCTCGAAGCAAATTAAGCCATTCAAGTTTAAGCAAGTGATGCTTAAGAGGTCATCTTTGTTAAGTCCCGTGTAGAGCTTAATCTCCATGGCTTCACATTCATAGATCAAATCCATCCAGTAGGCAACAAACTGCTGTGATTGAAAATTTTCCAAACATACATAATTGCATAGGCTGAAACTAATATAAACCATAACTACCTAGAGCTAATGATACCAAAATCATTATTACATAACGCTTTTAACCAACAAACTCACCGGACTAGCTCTGATCAACTTGAACGCGGGCACAACCATCACAGTCACCGCCAAGAACGTCAGCGTATCAAACCCTAAATCATTAATCACATCAATTGCGCTTGCCACATCAATCGCCGCATGAATACGGAAACCATTTCCACCACCTCGCCGAAAACCTTTCAACCCAAGATACCCGCAACTAGACCGCTTGCAGAAATCCCCGCACTCCTTCACCGACACAAGCCCCAACCGCCGTCCACACCGCAACGCGGACGAAGACAAAAGTACCTCCGCTTTCCACCTATCGAAAAAGGGTATTCCAGAAAACCGGCGTCGAATTCCAGAGAAATGGCAAGGATAAGTCCTGAACGAGCATATCCGATGATGGCCGATCGCACCGCCCTGTCACCAATAAAGCGTTTAGGTCAATAAGAGTATCGTTTAAAACGGGAGAAAATCGGCAATGATGGTGAGTGCTGACACTGAGACATCGGGAATTGCCCATAGGTGAAGAAATGGTTTTCCGATTACTGACGTATTTAGTACTTGTCGGGTATACGGGGAGGAGGAAGACGGGAGGGTGAGGTACTGAGCTTAGCTGGTGAAAGTATTGGCTGCTTGTCCATGGGATTTGAGATTTTGCTTTCGGACAGGAGAGCGGGTGAGGATAAGTGGATTTGAAGGAGTGAGAGTTTTTGTGGCAGACAATGAGTCCGTTATCCCGCGGGATTGGAGTATTTAAGCGTTGGAATGATATGATAATATCCCATATCTGGTCACCTTAACGTAAAAATATTCCAAACTCAAAAACTATTTCGTCCTGACTTTCAGTCACCGACGGTTACATCGTCCGTCGATGATATATATGATAACGTGACCGTTGTTGTCTAGGGCTGTCAAAAAAACTCATTGTTCGCGAACTGTTTATGTTTGGTTCGTGGAGGAGTTCGTGTTCGATTCGTTTGATAAGCAAACTAGGCGAACACAAATATTTTTTTTTGTTTTGTTTATAAACTAACCAAACACGAACAGTCATTTGTTCGATCGTGTTTGAATCGTTATTGTTCAAAATTTAAAATAATTATATATAAAAAAATTATCATATTTTAAAAATAATTATCTACTCTAAAAATTTACATATTATAAAAAATTAAATCATATAAATTATAATCTGGTTTTCAAGTTTGACTCGTAGCTTATATTAAATTTTATAATTGCTCAGGTTCGTCTCTTAGCTTAAATTTTCTTATATTTCTTTTAGATTTATTTAGTTTCGCTTGAGTGAAACCCAGTTTTTTAGAGTGAAATCTTGCATATTGCCTCTAGATCTAAATTTTTTATGGATGAGATATGATATTATGGATTTATTGTAAGATGTGCTTCAGCTATTTTGCATTTGTGAGGAGATTCATACAGATTTAAGCATTAATTTCATATAAGTTAAAGCTTTTGAAAGATTTCAAACAATTCGAACAATTTGAATAATACAAACAAATTTGTAAGATTTTGAACAATTCAAACAATTCAAATAATTCAAACAGTTTGAACAATTCAAATATTTCAAATATATTTCAAATAAATAAAATCGAACACGAACAATAACTTTATGAATAATTTCAAAAACATGTAATTTCAAACGAACCGAACACGAACACGAGCTTTGTTCGTTTATGTTCGGTTTGTTTACACCCCTACCGTTGTTCGTTCAGACGTGCGATGTGTCCAGGCTGAGTGTTTTCTCCACCTTAACGAGCTAAACTAAACGGTTCACACCGCGAAAGTTGCCTGCAGATCTCATAAAAAATAAAATAGGGATTGAGGTGTGTTTGGAATATGATACTATTGGTTGGACAAAATACTCTTTTAACAATTCTTTCTTGTACTTTTAAAATTATGCTTGAATTTTACATATATATGACTCAATTCATATGCATTTACATATCTAAAACCTCAATTTTATTTTATAGATTTATACCGCTTAAATATTTTGTATCAGTTGAATTCCATAGTGTATGTAAATCACTAGAGGATTAGAATGTAAATAAGGAGAAAAAAAAAAGAAAGAAGAAGACATATTTTATACATAAAATATTTTTTTCTTATTTATAGAGGAGATGTTATAATTATGATATGATAATTTTGCCTCTGTTTTGAAGGGGCCCGTACAAGAGTATTTATGGTCGGTATGTCTCGGTCAGTTGAGTTTGGTCGGTATGGGTGAGTCGACTGATATAGTTTGACTGCCAATTCTTCATCTCTCGTGAAGAGTCTCTAGGGTGTTCATGAGAACGTTGGAGATTTTGTAGAATTGGATTTTCTCTTGGATTGGTTCTACTGGAGAGTAAAGTGTCGCATCGGGTCAGCTTTCATGTAGTGTTCGATTTTTAAAAAAAAAAAAAAATCTTTTCTGCCCTAATGACATATGCTTAGATTATTCAATTATCTTCTTGCCCACCTTGTGGCTATGTCGGTTTTGGCCTTGGCTCGTAGGGCTTCGCTCGATTGGTTGAGTATGCATCATATTTTCCTCACAATGCGTCAGCTTTCATCATAATCTTCTTTTATTGACCATTAGATCTATTTTAGAAGTAGGGATAAGTCCCCTTGTAAAATAATTTATCTCAGACTAATTCTCGAGTGCTTTAATTTGAAGTGTGTTTTTTTGGAATTAAATTGCTTTATTGCCTTGTTTTCTTTGTTAATAAGATCTGGTTGTTAGCTCATTGTGGAAACAATTGTTTAGTTTCATTTTTACCCTTGTGCAATGGCTAGACTTGCCCTATTTTTCTTTATATATAAAGGGCTTTAGGTCATGTGGTAACGCTTCTTCTGCATTTTTTACCTTCTTTCCACTATCTCGGTCTTCTAAGTCAAAAGTTGAAAAAATAACCTATGATTAAGAAAGTCAATATGATCATCTGATATAGTACAGGTTTAAAATTATAGCTAAATTTACTAAAATCACAATCTAAAAATTACAAATAAGTCCTATTCTTCACTCGAAGTGGAGAGGAAAAGAGACCCAGTGGTTTTTCCTTAACGGGTTTTCCACGTAAAAACTTCTGGAGTCATCATCATTTTTTTCTATTTCATCTATGTGTGTGCTGAACTTTCGTACAACGCTAAGACGATAATTTGTTACTCTACCTCCGTAAATTTTCTAGCACACATCAAAACTGTTTAACGGTTTACACCGTGAATGCTACTGCAAATCTCATAAGAAATTAGTGATTGTAGCCCCTTGGTTGGACAAAATACTCTTTTAAAAATTCTTTCTTGCACTTCTTAAATTATGGTTGAATTTTATATATATACCACTCAATTCATATATATTTATATATCTAACACCTTAGTTTTACTTTTATATATTTATACCACTTAAATCTTTTCTGTTAGTTGAATCCAATAGTGTATGTGAATTACAGAAGGATTAAAACATAAATAAGGAAAAAGCGAAAGGAAGATGAACAATAATGAATAGTAATCAATCATATTTTACACATAAAATTTTTTTTTCTTAATTTATGGAGGAGAAGATATAATTATGATATGACAATTTTGCCTTTGTTTAGAAGCGGCCCGTACTGGAATATTTCTGGTTGGAATGTCTCAGTCAATTGAGCTTGGTTGGTATGGGTCAATCGGCTGATCTAGCCTGACTGCCAATTATTCATCCCTTGTGAGGAGCCTCTAGGGCGTCTATGAGATGCTTGGAAATATTGTGGATCTTCTCTTGGATTGGCTCTACTAGAGAGTAGTCTGTTGCATCAGGTTAGCTTTCATGTAGTGTTTACTCAAATTTTTTTGTCTCGTTTCTGCTTGAATGACTCGTGCTTGAATTATCTAATTGTCTTCTTGTATGCCTCGTGGCTCTTTCGGTTTTGGCCTTAGCTTGTATTGCTTCGCTCGATCTATTGAGTAAGCATCATGATCTTCTCATCATGGGTCAGCTTTCGTTACATTCTTCGCTTATTGACCATTAGATCTCTTCAAGATCGTTGCTGACACATTTGTATGTGCTTATTTTATTTCATTGATTCTCTTACGTCTTGAAAGTAGAGTAGCGATAAAAAAAAAAAGAATTTAACCCATAATTAGATTGCATTAAATTTTAATTAATAATTCAATAATTGAACTATTTTGATTTTTACGCTTTTGATTCTTATAAATAGGGCATGATGGAACTCCTTCGCATTCATAATTTGTTCCGCGTCTTTCCTCATTTGAGTTGGTCGGCTTTCGGGTGTTGGGCATTGCGATGGATAACCTATCGAAACTCTACGATGATGTTACCAACAAGGATTGATTTGCTTCAACTTCAAGAAACCAAAAATGTGGCACCACCCAGAAAGTGAAAGGAAAAAGAAAGTCATCAAGCAGTTGAAGTCTACACTCCCACTACCAAATCAAGTGGGGTTGTCCGATTCGATCAATGACATTATACGGAAGAGAGTTTAACCAACTGAACTGATCCTTGACCTGATTGCTCAAGGTTCCACTACGACACTAGACCCTCTAGTTAACTCGATCACCCAAACGGGTTCTAATGATCTCCCAATGCTTTTATTGTTGCCCCCATTAGTGAGAGTGTTACGTCGATTATAATATATGAGTGGAATCAACTCCTGAGTACAAGGGACTTCGGTATTGTTTTAAGAGATTTCATTTTGTTAAGTCTTTTTTGTTTTAAGATAATGCAAATAATCCAATTTGGGCAAACCTGAATGATAATCTGGCTCTAATTAACGTAAGTGAGAATCTAATCGGGGTGCAAGTGATAGCAGACCAGGCGCCAGGTGAAGGCGGTCAACTCTCGAGCGAAGATGGCAAGGTTGATCGCTCTGACAACCCCTTTCAAGGATGCAAGGAAGCAACTGACTAGCTCAGGATGTCCTCTAGGTTGCTTGCCCATCATCTGGACAAATTTGAGAGCTCTTTTGTCGGGTTAACAGAGTTCCAATAGGGTTAAGATATGTGCTAGCTATTTGCTCATATGAAGAAGGAAGAAAAGATGGAAGAGGTGGTGTGACTCTTTTATGGGAGCTGTCAGATCATTAGGAGAAATCCCTAATGTTATAAACTTAAGCCGAGTCAGATCGGTTGAGTTAGTTTAGGTCTGTAGGGGAGTTCTCGCATATGATGTCGCTTCAGCTGGCGCATGTCTCGGTAGAAGCAGGAACAAATCCTTTTGTAAAATATTTTTTCTCGAACTAATTCTTGAGTGCTTTTATTGTGATTTGAAGTGTATTTTTTGGAATTAAATTGCTTTATTGCCTCGTTTTTTGTGTTAATATGATCTCGTTATTAGCTCATTATTGGAACGACTGTTTAGTTTTGTTTTACCCTTGTACAATGGCTATACTTGCTCTATTTCCCTATGAGGTCACACTTCTTCTGCCTTTTTTACCTTCCTTCAACTCTCTCGGTCTTCTAACTTAAAAGTTGAAAAAATAACCTATAATTAAGAGAATCAATATGGATCATTCGATAGAGTACTATTTTAAAAATTCTAGCTAAATTTACTAAAACGACAATCTAAAAAATTATAAATAACTCATATTCTTCACTCGAAATGGAGAGGAAAAGAGAATAACAAGTAAACAATTAAATCGTAACCCTTGAAGAAAATTGAAAGACTAGCAATTCTAGCAATCATCGACCACTACCTGCGGCTATTGTTGCCCAACTACGACTTTTATGGGCAACCATGACTCTTGTGCCCAACTACAATTGTGATAGCCTCATTATGACCATTGTAGCTCTATTATGGCTTTTGTAGCCCTATTGTAACTATTGTAGCCGCAAATGATGGCTTCTGTAGCCAACAACGACAGTTATAGACCCACAAAGACAATTGTAGTTCAATAACAACTACTGTAGTCCTAACTACCCTTATACAATTATATTCATCATGTTATTTCAAAGTGGTTCTAATTTCAACATAACCATGTGATCTTAAATATTTGTATGCTTGATTCTATAGTGAATTATTTTGAACGAGTTAGACCCCGTGATATTTGTCATTTTAACAGGTTTCACATAAAAATTTTGATTGTCTCCTTCATTTTTATATGTGTGCCCTAAGAAATTATATTGAGTTAAGGCTTATGATATTTTTGTTGCCGAGAATTTTCAAGTGCAAAACAATGTTTATAACAGTTTCTATTTTACATGTATGCATGAAAATGTATTGTCCAATTTTAAAAAGTTAATAATAATGATATTTTTATGTAATGGAAAATATTATAAGTTTATTGAAATTTATTTTTAAAAATTTCACTTTTTGAAAAGAGAAAAAAGTGCATATAGTTATTCTTCGACATATCTCCCTTGACATCCAGCTCAAACATGTGTTAAACATCTTCTTGAATATATTTATGCATTCTTTCCTATTAAAAAAAAAAAATTTGCACAAAATATTAGTCATTTTCAGGCATAGGTAATTGTCTAGATAGTTTGAACCCTAGAGTTTCATCTGTTGTGATTATATGACTTCCTTTTCTAATTCACAAACGTTTATATTGTTGTTTGCTACCATCGATCTTCACCATAATCTTTACTTCTCATTTTACCAACAACCAATTTTGTAGTTGCCGCGCCTTAATGCACATCCATTAATGTATGGCCCCAATGAGTTTTCATTCTTTTCTACAAATCACCAATCATTGATGCCTCTTGGTGCACCAACAAGCTCATATTCTCTTTCATATGTTTGTCCAATGATGTCTTCGGGAGCTTTTGTTATAAAGTGATTCAACATTATACATCAGTCCTATACATGCCCCAATAGTTCAAATCAGGCTCAATCCTGTTCGAACCAATGTTCAAATCACTAGCAAGTCTAATGAAAAGTTTATAAATATAAGAGACTGTCATTTGTGAAAGGTGTAAGAGACGAATATTCGTTGATAATAGTTGTCCAAAATAAATTTTCAATTACATTTCTCTAAATAACAAAATAAAGGATAAATATACCTAATTACACATATTATGAGGCATATTAAGTCAAAATTTATTATTATATTTTGTTAAATTACATGAGCTAATTTTAATATTATTGTGAGTTTCTCATATCCATCACCCAAAACTTAATATTTACACTTATTACATCTTGGCCATAAATTTTTATATGAAAATGCTATCTTTTACTTCTAAAAGGATAATATTTGTGATATTTTGTTATGTGATGCGGAAAATATGAGTGATATACAAATAAATATAAATGTTAAATTGTTATATGCGTAAATATATAAAAATTATGCTGTATTTATGTAAATGTCCCAACAAGAATTAACCAAAATGTTATTGTTAACGATTAAAAAAAGAACACACTTACGAAAACATTAAATTTTTATCCAATAGAATGCAGGCACCTGTCAGTGTAGGCATCCTAAATTTGGACAGCAACCCTAAGAAGTCTTTAGTCCGCACAATCTTTGACACGTTCCATATGCAGCCGCCGTCCCGCGCGCGGAGTATAAATTAACGTGTTCAGGTGAGAACAGCAAACAGCAATTAGCAATAATGGCCATATAATTGCATCGTGTATAAACACTAATCTCCGCGTGACTAGCTCAAATCTATCCATCCATTTAGGATCGTTCGAAAGTTTACCAAGTAAGGAACCGCGTTGGCTGACTTTTCGTGGTCAAAGCTACTAGATATTTTTGAAGTTTTGCTTGAGAAATTAATTATGCATTTATCAAACCACACAAAGTAATTTTAATTAGAAATTGCTTTTGAAATTATAATAAAATTACTTTGAGTAGGTTTTCTTAATCACCCAAAACTACGTAAGTAAGATTTGCGTGTTGAATTCTGATAGATTCATGACTCACACCAAGAAATAAAGTGTAACTGATGTGAGAGAAGAAGAGGTAGGAGTTTAGGGTCCATTTGGGGCAACTTATAAGTGCGGCGGCGTTTTTGAAAAGCCGTCTGACCGTTTGTTTTGCCCGTTTTTGTAAACATTGTCAGCCGCGTTTGAGTTTTTTTATACTAAACGCAGGTCGCAGGTCGACTCGTTGGCCGCATTTCAAGATAAACTGCTTATCCTGAAACGCACAAGCTGCCCCAACAGACCCTTAATCTTAATATATCCATGAATCACATCCAAAGAATAGAGTGTAAAGAGAGAAAGATGAGTAAACGTTAATAAACAATAATACGTCATATCTTATTCATGAAATGATCTTCCTATTTATAAAGAATGTTATACAAATTGATAATGTTATATTTTTATCATTGTTTTAAAGAGGATTGTATATAATATTACTAGCATTTTGCATGATGAATAACTCTGTATATGATTCAACATTAATTAAAAAAAAAAAAGATAGAAAGAACATAAACATATAATGAAATTTGTATTAATACAACATAATGAAATTTGAATTAATACAACATGAGTCAGTAAAATAAATTATATGTTAATTTATTTGAGAAGATAGCTTTCACATAAATTAAGTGTCCTAATCAACTCTTATAATATTCAGTTTAACCATATTATAATATAAATCTAGTAATAATAAAATTGATCAAAAATAGATATAACTAAAGCAACTTTCATTTTACCTAATAAAATAAGAAATATATTAATTATGCCTTTCTAGATATAGATTTTTAATTTTTAAAAGCAAATAATGATTTTTTCCTAACCCCTCTCCAGGGTGCTAAACGCAAAAGCAACCAAGTCGCCAACTTTCAATTCAAACGGAGAAGATGACTCCCATTTTATAATCTCTCTGGAGCAGATATTCTTCTTCCTGCAATCCCCCTTCCCCTTACCTTCCTCTTTTTCCGACGGCCAAATCCTCATAAAAACCGCGTCTTTCTTGCAGAATCTTCTCTCCACGCTCTAAATAACTCCAAAATCCCAACCTTCCTCCTCAAATCAACTCAAAGCCCTCTGCTTTCAGCTGAATCAGGGGCACGGATTCAGAAATGAATAATCTTTTCTCATCATCATGGCAAAGAGATCCCCCATCCCCCAACGGCAGCATCCCCATGTCGAGAACGCCAAGCTCCGGCATCGCTCCGGCGGCTGCGGCCGGAGGCGAAAATCTTGATAAATTCTTTCAAGAAGTCGAGTCGATCAAGGAAGAACTCAACGGAATCGAGCGAGCCCATCGCAGCTTGCAAGAATCGAATGAATCCCTCAAAACTCTTCACTCACCCATGGCCGTTCGAGAGCTCCGCGCCCGCATGGACGGCGAGGTATCTCAGGCCCTGAAGAGAGCGAAACTCGTGAAGCTGAAGCTGGAATCCCTTGAGCGATCGAACGCGGCGAGGCGGGCGGGGTCCG